TGTGTTTTTTGAACCTTAAACCGCATAAACACATTTCATTACACCAAATACACAAAATAATGTTCTTTTTAGCAGCATCATATGACCCCTTTAATAACTCTTTTTAACGTCAAGCAGTTCTCTGATATATGCATCGAACTAAAACTTTGACCTTTTGCAACATTTTGATTAAAGTAGCCTATTATTAAAATGATTTAGATATCGCACACCGTTGCGATATGCATATTGCGCTATTTACATTTGCGATATTTCGATATATCGTGCAGCCCTACAATCAATCAATCAAATAAATAAATAAATAGTATTCTTCATTCATTGTCATTAAGATTATTTATTTATTGTTTATTTTATTTATTTTATTTTTCACTATTGTGTTGAAACATGACTCTTGACAAATTCTTGACAGATTTTGTGGGATTCATCCATATTATTATTATGGATAATAATCACATGAAATCTGTCAAGATTTCTGAGAAAGGTCATATTTTAAATGTATATATATATATATATATATATATATATATATATACACACAGTAAATTATATTTTTAATACTACTACTACTACTAATAATAATAACCTTTTTTTTGCATTACTGTTAATGATGCATCATTTAAATGATAAAATACCTATACATCAGAAATCACAGGCATGTCTGGAATGTCTGATCTTCCCAGGATTTGCATTTGCAGACGACCGGTCACCTGACCCTTTTAACTAGTAACCGTGGGGGATGTGTGTTAATGCAGTCACAGGCTTGACAGCAGCTCTGACTGATCCTCCAGCTGTCAGACCGCACGCGCACGTCTGCGGGAGTCACTTCACTAATCCACAGCTTCTACAAAAGCATTTCAACCGATAAAAAAAAAAGGTAACAATGGCTGCCTGAGATGCTTTGATCAATCCTTAAACTGCTGCACTGACATGCTTCATCACTTACAAACTCATCACTGAACTATTGAAATTATTAAGTTTGGGTTAATAATCATGGCAAAATATACAACCACATAGGGTTGCAAAGTGGCAGAAATTTTCCAGTAAATTTCTGGAAACTTTCCAAGGTTTCCAAAAATTTCCCCAAAATCCTGCAAAGTTTCCAAAAATTCTGGAAAGTTTTAGAAATTTACCAGAAATGTTCCGCCCCTTTGCAAACCTACAACCACACACAATTAGTGAATCAATTTATTTTGTTAAAAATTAAGTGCCAAAAAAAAAAAAATTTAACAATGTTATTGTACTCACAGAATAAAATTATTCTGAACATTAATTATCAAACTTATTTAATCACAAACATGACGTCTCTTCTGTGTGAATCTCAAAAATAACTATCAAAAATAATCAAGTCATCAGCCCAACAACAAGAGAAAATGTGCACTTTTTTCAGCATTTTATCTCATGTTCTGCTCTCTGCCTTATTCAGGTGATATTGTGATAGAAATCATCAGTCATCTATCAAAATTACTGTAAAATCATGTCTAGAGCTTATGTCAGTGACTCAGTTTCCTACAGACTCTACCTGTTTCAACAGCTCTGTGCAAACAAAACACTTCCTAGTTTTCGTGTTCAGTCACCTCAAATGACCCCTTACAATAAACTTCACTTGTGGCTGTGCCTCAGATTACGTACTATCTTGTCCTAAATGAATGAATCTCATGAAACCTGTCCAAGAACATGCCACGTCATATTTCAACCCCCTGTAAATAAATAAATAAATAAAAAAGGTGCGAATCTCATGAAACCTATCAAGAACTTAACCTAAACTTAAACCTAAACTTAACTTTCAAAAAACAATGATAGAATTAGCATTTTTAGATAAACTTTTCCCTTAAAATATTCTAAAATATCCCAAAATAGCAAGCCACAGACCACAAGCATCAGCCTATTGAAACAGTTTCACACACTT